AGGGGTTTTGGAGTCTCTGGGTCCTTTCACCCTCAACACTAAAGCGGCACCTGGCTCGATCGAAGGCGCCGGCATTGCGGCTTGCGCTATGGCCTGTGGTGCAGCAGGTTCTGTGAATCTGACTGGTTTCGATATTTTCGGGCGGTGGCAAGCGCAGCTCATGGTCTAAGGTTAGAAGCTAATATGGACCCGTAGGCAATTTTAGGGGGATTCTACTGACCCTTAAGGGTGCATACAGGGTATATAGTAGGTATATCAGGGTGCCAGGGTTAAGGGCCCGTACTAGGGGCCCATGGTTTCAAACTTAGAATGGTCATAGGTCTTGAGCTTCGGAAACACGGCAAAAGAGGCGGGTGACGAGTCTAAAGCTGCGGGCATAAGGTCTAGGACACTTCGCGCTGTTACTGTGTGAGGTCCCTGCATTCTAAACCACTACTCTTACCGTAAACCCTAAACCCTGTCATTTTTTGGGGAAGTATCCCCGGCAACAGAATGGGATAGGGTTCAATATAGCATCGGAATAGCTATAGACTCTAAGCCCTAAACCGTTAAACCGTTAAACCCTGGGTCTTGGCCTGCTCAACAAGATGTTTCTGATCCTTAGAATTTACGGCTTAGGGTTGGGGTTCGGGGGTTAGGGTTTGCGGGTCTAGGGTTTAGGGGTTTGGGGCTGGGTGTTTAGGGCTTCACGGTTTCGGGGCTGGGGGTTTGGGTTTCAGATCGTGCTGTGCAGGACTTACCTTCACCCTGGCCTCACAGCCGGCGACGCAGGCGAACGCATCCCTGGGTCCGGTTCTTCTATAGACTTTCCAGGTTCGTCTAGTATAGGGGCCTAAATGACTACCTATACTTTTTTGGGGTTCCTTGTTGTAAGTAGAGTATAATATACCCCAAAACCCTATTCTAAGTATTAAGGCCCCTACATTACTTGCCGGGGAACTAGATCCCGATTCCTTAGACCTTCCCCGGCCTCCTTTCTAAAGACGAACCCACAGGGTCCTCAGTACCTATATAGAATGTAGGGTTTCTACATTAGGAAGTCTTCTCATTATGATTTGGGGAAGTATCCCCCATAACAGCACCCAGGACCCTTTAGGGAAAGACGTTCCCTGGTGGAGACCAAACCCTAAACCCTAAGCCCTAAACCCTAAACCCTAAGCCCTAAACCCTAAACCCTAAACCCTAAACCGAGACCGCAGGCTCCGGATGCGACCTCGCGGACGGCACCGGGTGCGCCTGGCACGCCCTCGAAGGCCTCCGGGCTTTTCCTTCCCGCCATCGGTTTAGGGTTTAGGGTTTAGGGCTTAGGGCTTATAGGGTTGAGGGTGCATGGTTTGAGGGTCGAGATTTCTTTTTTGAAGGATATGCGAGATACTACATGACAAAAGAGGTTACTGGAGTGGGTTTACGGGTGAAGGTTCACATGAAGGATATGTATGTATATATATATATACGAGGAATACTTATGAGGGGGTGGGATAGTGGATTTAGGGTTGGGTCGGGCTGAGGGTCCCAGAAAGATGGAACGTGACTGCACGCACACAGAAGCCCCGGGTCCAAAGTACCTATATGGTAGAATGTAGGGCTTCTATGTTTTTTTAGGAATATTCCTTACTATATGGCTAGTGCTTTTCTCAAGACTTAACCTGAAGCGCATAAGGATAATGATGTCCTACTTGTTGGCTTCTGCCTCACCCTAAGACTCAACATCGCCCAAAAGCCTTAGATGGTACGGTCTCTGCGCCCAAAAGCTCTCAAAATATAAGTCCTTAGAGCCTTAAGGGTTCTAGATCCTCCCCTAAACCCCAAAACCCCCAAACCCCAAACCCTAAACCCTAAACCCTAACCCGAAACCAGGATCTCTGTTTAGAACTTCGGGTTCAGGGTTTTGGGTTACGAAGCTGCAGGTGTCCAGTCCAAGGATTTAGAGGTTTAGGGTTTAAGTTTTAAGGTTTAGGGTTTAGGGTTTAGGGAGGATGCTCATAGGTTGTTTATAGAATTCCTAAGATTCCAAGGTACCGTATCAGTTGATATGGCGGCTTGGCATGGTATGAGTTTGCATTTGGTATTTGGCAAAGTATATGATGAGTCATTGAAATATTTTGGGCACTTGGACCCTTAGGGTTTTGGCTTCGAAATGTTGGCTTCCATAGCGCCCTACTGCAACCACTAAACCCATTCCGTCGCAAAGCCTAAACGCCGAATTCCAGATCCTAAGTAGTCCCCTAATTTCAGGGCCAGAATAAATAGAACAGAATTCTATAGAACCCTTGTGCAACCCTTTGACTCCTTTTAAAGGCCCCAGCTGTATATTGGGGCTTTTGAGCCCTTATATTCCCCGCCTTCCCTTCCCGCCAGGGCTTCGCCATGTCAGCAGCGCCGCTGGCTGTGGGTTTGGTCGGCTTGGTTCCCGGCACAACGAGTGCTTTTGGGCTTAGGGCTTGGGTTGGGGGTTTGGAGTTTAGGGCCTAGGTCCTGGGTAAGTCTCAAACTCAAACCCACACTGTATAGGTATTGTCGGTATTGTTTTTGGGTTTTCTGATCACATCAGCAGCAGCATGTCTATGCCGGGGGTCTTAAGAGTCAAGCAATTTTCGAGATGCTGACCTCTGCAAAGAAGCAAGATGAGGCGGAGTCTTATGTTTACATCAAACTCTATAACCCGATACTTTTCTGACTTCTATTGCTCGAAAGCCCCACAACTGGCCCACAACCTTGAAGCCCGAGAACCTCAAAGAGGAAATTAATCGACATATATGTGTACACCCGCTTACACATTCGTGGCCGAAGTGGAAAGAGGGAAAGACCAGGTACTAAGCCATGAGCCTATGAACCTTGAACCCAACCTTATAAACAGAAGGCAGAAATCTTGAACCTTGCAACCTCAACCCTACACTCTTTGCCCCTTATAACAGGCTTACTTTCCACCCGAAAATCTCAACTCTAACCCCTCAGCCAAACACCTATAGAACCATTATCGGAAGCCTTGCAGGAGCTCTGACAGGCATCCTAAGAATCCAAAATCCCTAAGCCCTAAACCTAAGCCCTAAAATCCCCAGCCATTGGGCTAAGGCGGGTTGTCACTCGCCTCGTCACGGGCTCTGCGCAGTCGGTCGGCTCGAAGGCGTGTTTTTGAGTTTAGGGTTTAGGGGTCTGTATAGGGTTTAGAGTTTAGGGTTTAGCGGTTTATAGTGTTTAGGGTTTAGAGTTGAGTAAGAATTAGGATTTGGGATTTATCATCTAGGTTTAGGATTCAAGTTGCAGGATTCACGCATTAGGGCTTGACTTGGATGTTCGTGGCCTTCTAGGTACAGGCGCAGAGGTTTGGAGTTGAGGATAGACGGCACGTCGGGTTCAGGATTCATGGCTTCGATTCTAAACCCTGAATCCTGAACGCCTAGCCCCTAAACCCTAAACCCTAAACCCTAAACCTAGCTCCTGGAAGGGTTCAGGACTTAGTAAAGTTCAGGCTTTCCTTGCCCTTGCCTCTAAGGGCTTTAGGAGTCAGTCTTGCAGCACGGCTCAGGAGCGTTTCGAAGCTCATAGACCCCAACGTCCCCTCCCCCCAAACAACCAAACAAGTCATGTTGGGATTGGGGAGCCCAAATATGCTCCAATCTCGTGTGGCACAAACACTTGTGCCAAACTCGATCTAGAGGGAGAGAAGGAGCAGGAGAAAGAGAAGGGGAAGGAGAGAGAGAGAGAGAGAAAAAGATCCCGCTCTCTCTTGATCCTGTCATGCTTTCCTTATACGAATCCTTAAAGTGGTAGGTTTGGGGACTTCTGTACATTTAAGGGCGACCATTTAAGACACGGCCTAAAGTCCCCTACAGACTAAGGTCCTAAGGCAGAAAACCCTCAACTCTTGAGGACACAAAACCCTCCCATTCGGGTACTCGGATCCTCCTGAAAGGGTTCGTCTATAAACCCTCAACCGTTTTTGTCTTCAGGGCAACCAACCCGGAGCTCACCGAAGACTTCGATGCTGATGCGCGCGGCTCAGCGGGTGTTTTGGGGGGTTTGAAGTTGTTTGTGGGTTTTCCAAAGAGTCTAAGCACTAAAGTAGTACGTAGGTTTCGTGCCACGATGCCTTCTGTAGTTTGTGCCTAGACCGTCTGCGTGTAGGCTTTCAGTCTCAGAGGGCTCCAGGCTAAACCCTAAACCGCGTACCCGGATCCGAAACCCTAAACCCCCTACCCTGATCCCTAAACCCTAAGCCTTAAAAACACAATACAACTACTCCCTAAACCCTAAACCCTAAACTTTAAAGACAAAAAACAACTAATCCCTAAACCCTAAAACCTAAACCTTGAAAGCAAAAAAAACAACTAATCCCTAAGCCCTTTAATGATTGGGGTTCAGTGTCTTCTCGGATTTGAGTTCATGCCCTGGGTTTGGACATCAGGCTTGCGAACCGGACTTCTGCTAGGGTTTAGGGTTTAGGGCTTAGGGCTTAGGGCTTAGGGTTTAGCAGTAGCATTGGTTTTCGGGTTAATGTAGGGCCTTGATAGTTAGAGTAGGGTCTTGGGGGCTCCTTATTACAATCAGAGTATAATATACACCAAACCCTATCCTAATGATTAAGGCCCCAATTAATACCCAAAGGGTCCTCAGCAGCTACATATAGCAGAATGTAGCGTTTCTTATATTAGGATTACTATTCTCATTTGGGGAAGTATCCCCCATAACAGTACCTAGGACGCTATGGGATAGGCATCGGAATAGCTACCAATAGTAGACACTTGTAGTCCCGATCCTAACAGGGGGCAGCAGATCTCCAGCACTCGCCCGGCCAGCAAACCCTCGTGTTGCAAGCCTTCTAGGGGTTTCAGGTTTAGGGTTTAGGGTTTGGGGTATAGGTTTGGCTGGGGGGTTTAGGGGTTTAGGGTTTAGGGGTTAAGGGTTTAGGGTTTAGGTGTTGGGGTTTCCAGCAAGGGTGCAGTATTCCTTGGCTTCCATGAGGGATCAGCGACCCGACGGGGACATGGACTCTAATTCGTTAGGGCTATACTCGGGCTCGACACTGCGCTACCTGGATTAGCAGATTAGGTACTTTGACCGTAGGGATATGTAAGGTTTAGGGTTTAGGGGATATGACCCTACAGCATTGGTGCATTTGCCTTTCTTGAGGTGCCATAGGTAATAGGTCTTGGGGACTCCGGGTTTAGGCGAGGACCATGACTATGAGCGACTTAACGTCACCGCCCTAACCCCGAAGACCTACACCCTAAACCCTAAACCCTAAACCCTAATTCCTAAACCCCTAAACCGTAAGTTTCGGACCCTTGGCCCTGAACCCCCTCAACTCATAAACCCTACACCCTAAGTCCCCGACCCATACCCTAAACCCAAAGCCCCCTTACACCCTAAACCCTAAACCCTAAACCCCTAAACCCCTAAACCCCTAAAATCTGCCTTGAACCCCCCAACTACCCTCTAGTATACCCAAAATGCCCACTATTAAGGACCATAGGGGCTCCACTAAACCTTAATTAAGGACCACAGGGGCTCCACTAAACCTCAAGCCCTAAACCCTAAACCCTGAAACCCCAAAACCCTAAAACCCTACACCCAAAACCCAAAACCGCCCTTGGGGGGTCCTAGTGCACCCCTAAACCCTGCAGCCCAAAAACAGGAGCCTCCCTTCGAAATCCCCTAAACCCTAAACCCTAAACCCTAAACCCTGCAACCCCTAAACCAGGAGCCTCCCTTCGAAATCCGCGGCTTCTCCCTGGCGCAGGCTGTCCTGGTCCTAGGCGCGCTTCCCTTCCGGGTTTAGGATTTTTAGGGTCTTTAGGATTTTTAGGGTTTTTAGGGGTTTAATGTTAGGGTCCCTTTAAAACCCCCCCCCCCCCCTGAGGTCGTTTTGCGCGGGG